ACGTGAAATGTTCTAATAGAATATTATACTGTAAATATTCTAATGTGATTTTTTCAATGTTAGAATATTATATTAGATTTGTCAGATATGTAAAATATTATAATATTTTATTAGAATATGTAAAAAAATGTATTTTTTATTTTTGCTGGTATTTTTTTAAAATGGGAAATATAAATGATGAAAATAATATTTTAATTTTTTTTTTCGAAAATTTTCAATTATTTTGGATTTTAAATATATATATATATATATATATATATATATATATATATATATATATAAAGAGAGAGAGAGAGAGAGAGAGAGAGAGAGAGAGAGAGAAAGAGAGTGTGTGTGTGTGTGTGAGATAGAGACAGAGAGAGCTAGGTTCAAATGTTTCTAGCAACTATTGTGTGCATGTATGCACCAATGAGAATCCAGAAACTAATAAATCATTTAGTGCCTCCGTTAAATAATGGAAATCAGTTTAGAACCCTTGATATCACCTTATTTTTCGTTTGCATCGAACCACTCTGTTTCAACCTAGGGCTTGTTTTCATCTACATCCTTTCCCCCCCCCCCCCCCCCATCGCTGCTCTATCAAAGGCCCTCATGCCTCCACCTTATCTTCATCTTCTTGATTTTAATCCTGGAATGTACAATCACCATGGATGTAATCTTGAATCCGAACTTGAAAAAGGTACATTATATGATTTTTCTCACTTTTTGCTAATCTTTACTTGCTAGCTTCCATTTTTGATGAATCATTTCAATCAAATCAGGACTTCCCAAAAGACCCAAGTGGAAATCTTGTAAAGTTGAGGGATTTTATCAAGGAGAACATTCATGTGAATATGAGGCATTTACAAAGCAGCATTATCAGGAGCTTTGAGGCATGAGTAAATCTGAGCAAAAAGAAAGTTGACTCAGTAAAAGTTTGAATTGGAGAAATATGCAGACTTTTATACCTTTTTGTGAAAGGAGTAGAGAAAACTTGAACTAAACCCACGAATGCATCCGACAATGGGAAGATGGTGACATATCTTTTGCTAATGCACATGTAAGTCTTTGTTATTATTCATTGATTCTTTTTCTACATAGAATGTTGTGAATGGAGTTGCATATGATTGATTTGTATGGCATTTGTGAATGGTCTGTTAATAAACACGCCATGTAGGGATGTTTTTCTTTCTCCATTGGAGAATAAGGTTGTAATATGTTTTTGAAGTCTGTAAATATAGCTTGCTCAAGGCTTGTTTTCACGGAAGTATCAATGTTATTCGGTTTTAATTTAGAATGTAAAAAAAATAAACAGGTGTAAATAGCGATTTCGAAAGACACATATACCATACACACATAACATGCTATATCATAACAATTCACAGAACAACCATGCATATCGGGTCTACTGTGTGACTGGTCCGCCGTGTCGGGCCTTCAGTCCACCAGGTCCACCCTCCGAGTCTAGTCATGTCCTTTGAGTCTGCAGTGTGGTTGGTCCTCCCGCACCGGGCCTTCAACCCACCTGGTCCACTCTCTGAGTCTATAGTATGACAGGGCCACCTGCATCGGGCCTTCAGTCGGCCTGGTCCACTCTTCGAGCCTCGACACGTCTGGTCCGCCCTCGTGGGGCCTACAGCCTATCCGGACCGCTCGTTGGGCCTTCGAAATAACCGATCCGCCCTGGGTATGTTGGCCTACAGCACAAAGCAGGTACCGCCTCAACCCAACCCTAGTCAACAACCATGTGCACATAAACATACAATCATATAACAATTCACATTCAATCAAAGCGATCTAGCAAATCACGTAACATGGCATACTCTAAGCAGGATACCGACCTAACCGGTCACTAGCATAGCATCACCCTATATACCAGGATACCAACCTTAACCAGGTCTCTAACATATATCATCCTAACTACCAGGATGCAAACATAGTAAAACAACAACATAACAACAATACCCGGATTACAATCCGATAAAGGCCCGGCCTTGGTGCCTTAGACCCTGTTGATATAGTGAGGATAACTCACCTCGCAACTGTCGACTGAAAGATAAGACCGAGATGCTCCGACCACTGACACGATCTCCACCACTGGCCAACACCAACACTGAACTCAAAACAAAAGCCAACAATTACCAAAATACCCCTGGAAGCCAACTGGTCAACCCTTGGTCAAAGTCAAAGTCAAAGTCAACCTCCTGACTGACTCTACTTGCCCAAGGATTTGTTTATATGATAGTTTATACTTGTTGTCTGTGTGATACATGTATGTGCCTGGTAGGGAGGTGAGTGTGGGCGAGGTCCCGTATCTCACCAATAGCAGAGTGTGGATGGGGTTCCATATCTCATTAGTAGCAGAACAGGGGAGAGGCCTAAGTTACGGGAAGAGTGAGAGTGGGTTGGGCACGTATCTCACTACCAGTAGGAGAGTGGACGGGGTTCCATGGCTCATCAGTAGCAGGACAGGGGCGAGGCCCAGGATAGGCGAGGCCTTAGGACAGGATCAGTCGTATGAGTTTAGCTTATGTGTTGTGATATGTTTATGTGTTATTATTTGTTGGAGGGCGAGGCTCTGTGACAGGCGAGGCCTAAGTGAAATAGATCTGTATCTGAGCACGGCTCGAAGCCAGGCGGGGCCTGGAGCGGCAGAGCCGTTATAACGGGTGAGGCCCGAGGCAGGGGGCGAGGCCGAAGATAATGGGCGTGACCCAGTATGTGCAGTATGTGGTTATGCATGGTATGTGGTAGGGTGGGGAACTCACTAAGCTTCGTGTGCTTACCGTTTTCAGTTTTGATTTCAGGTACTTCCGGTAGCGGAGGGAAGAACTCGGGGTGATCGCATGATACACACCATTGATTAGACAGTATGGGAATGTTTACTCTAATAATGAACATGTGTTTTTGAAAATTAATACTCTGATTATGTTTTGGAATGATGACTTTGCTTAAAGTAATGTATTATTAAAAGAAATTTTTGGCCTCGTCACATGTGATGGTATCCAGGTGATGGCTAATTGGCATCACAAGGAGACCTTCAGCAGTTGAGGATTGGTTTGAGTTGAGTCAGAGGTTTCCCTAGGGTAAGCCTAGGATGAGGTAGTGCTGGGAGCAGTGGCGGTAGAAAAGGGACCTGGTGGAGTCGAAGCAGTTCTTGAGGAAAGTACGGATATATGTGGAAGGTAATATGATCCCGTACTACTGAAAGCAGAGGATCCATACTCGATTCGGGAAAGGCCGAGACAAGACCGGGAACCTGGTAGTGAGTATGTTTGGTCTCGCAGCAGTGAGGAGTATTTTGATAGTGGGTATGTTATATGTTTCAGTATGGTGACGTTGCGAGAGAGACCAGCGGGCGGGTGGGGAACTCACTAAGCTTCGTGTGCTTACTGTTTTCAGTTTTGGTTTCAGGTACTTCCGGGTAGCGGAGGGAAGAACTCAGGGTGATCGCATGACACACACCATTGATTAGACAGTCTGGGAATGTTTACTCTAATAATGAACATGCGTTTTTGAAAATTGATACTCTGATTATGTTTTGGAATGATGACTTTGCTTAAAGTAATGTATTATTAAAAGAAATTTTTGGTCTTGAATTTTGGGTCGTTACATAAGTGATATGAATAAATCAAATACATGTCTTTAACTTCATTTAATTTTATTCTATATAGAAATCTAGATACTAAAACTATACACTTGGTTGATTTTTCATTATAATTTTTTGTATGTAGTTTTATATTTTTATTATAAATTACACGAATTTTGTATGTATGAAATTTTATATTTAAAATGCAAACAAAACCAAAAAACACCAATTATTAATCCTATCCATTCACTATTCAATATGTTTTTTTTGGGGTTAATGAACTTTGAAGTGTAAATCAGTTTAGGTTATAACTATGTTTGATGTATGGGTGAGTATTTGGATTTTTGGATCGAGAACCGGGCATAAACCTGGACCTGATAAGCTTTAACAGACCTAGTCCAAAGTCCATAAATTTCTGCAAAATAGGCCCGATCCAAGAGCAGACCGGTTCGGTCCAATCCAAATGCTCACTTTTACGTCCAAGAAGTGGGAACCGGTCCTAAACCGGGTAAGCCTTAAGAAGTTTAGTCCAAGGTCGACCAATTTTTATAAAACCAGCCCAGTCCGATCCAGATGTTCATATTGGGTATTTTTTTCATATGGTGAAATCTGGGTGTATAGTTTGATCGGGAGAGCTTGGTGTGAGTTTTTCTATATTTGTGAATTTATTTATTTATTTTTTCACATAATTACATATGCACAGGTCCAATCCTTCGTATTTGACAATTTTCCCCTTCACAAAAGGGGATGGGATGGGATGGGTCATTTTTACGGTAGAAGGATGTTCACCGATGTAGCTTTATGTTGGAATTAGACTAAAGCACTTTGCCATTTGTATCTTGCCCTCGGTATCTCGTTGCCTCATATGTTTTATCTATTAAAATTGAAATGTATATGGTGTTGTGTTTTGGTGATGTCATGGCTTTCAATTTAAAGTACCTTGCCCTTTGTACTTGCCCACAATAGTTCGTGCATGAAGAATCTACTTGAACTCTTTTGGTATGTTTTATGAATCTATGATGAACTCTTTTGATATGTTTTTGGATTAACTTTGATTCTGTTATATTGTAATCTTTGGTAAAACTTTGTTTGACCAGTAGTTTTTGCTCTTTATTTTAGATATTGTTTAATGTTGACAAATGTATGTTATTAAAAATAGAGTTAATATTATAAAAATCATATATTTTCATATTTCTGCTATTTAAACATTTTGTCTTAGCAACGTTTTTCTTGGTATAATAATATAACTAAAACGCTAACTAAATATACATAATACATTAACTAAATATGACATCAAAAAGAAAAATTATAATTATAGAATAAAGTGAAGATGTTTTAAATTAACAATATGGTTTACTCTATCACGTTGTATGAAAATACTGTTTATTTAATCGAAAATTAACAATTATAGTTAATCAAGTATGCCCTGAAGCTGATCGAGATGATAATGATGTCTGAAACAGTTAAACTCGAATCAAGCAAACGACTCGGCTCAATGGATCCTGAAAAGGTTGCTCTGTCTTTTCCTGATTTTCATTTAAACTAAAGAACCTAGTGTCACTTTTATAATCCGATTATTAAATTCTGTGTTCGATTCCTCAATTTCCCAGTATTAATTAAGATCCGCCTACTTGGATTACCAAATTAAATAATCAACTTTCTGTTACATTTGAAAATTTATAGACTTGTTTAATTCAAGGCTGGGGATGGTATTGACTATTGATATGTCTTTCATGGACAAAGCAAGTTGCAGAGAAAATTTAATGGAGACAAGTCAACTCTCTTTGTCATTGGCTTTCTTTCTTCTGGAAAGGTTCTCGTGAAGCCAACCCGTTCACACCCACCACCTGTTTGATATAATTCCACACTGAGTTCTTTTCACAATCTCATAACCGATTCTTCTACAAACAAATTAAACCCCACACAGTCTCCCTCCTTGTCTTCTCTTTTACAGGCAAGCCAGCGACTTATATCAAAAGGGAAAACGAGGAGATTGAAATGAGTTCTTGTTTCTGTGTTTGGTCGAAAACAGAAAGCTCTGAACTTGACTGTAACAAGGTTGTATCCGCTGCAACAGTCCTACATAGCCCTCGGAGTCAAGCTGAGATATTAAAGTCACCGAATTTGAAATCGTTTAGTTTCAATGTACTTAGAACATCCACCAGAAACTTCCGTCCCGATAGTGTATTGGGAGAAGGTGGCTTCGGTTTAGTTTTCAAGGGTTGGATAGATGAACACTCGCTTTCAGCTGCTAAACCTGGAACTGGCACTGTTATCGCTGTCAAACGATTAAATCAAGAAGGCGTTCAAGGTCACCAAGAATGGTTGGTAAGTATAAACTGTAAAAACTCACCCATCTTCTTTACTTCATTTATATTGGGTGATTTGGATCAAAATCTAATATTCCATGAAATTTTGTAATAATAGGCGGAAATCAACTATTTGGGGCAGCTACATCATCCAAATCTTGTACAACTAATCGGTTACTGCTTAGAGGATGACCAAAGACTTCTTGTATACGAGTTCATGTCTCGAGGCAGCTTGGAAAACCATCTTTTCAGAAGTAAGTTTCAGTTTCAGTTTCTATTATTCATCCATCCGCCCAAAGTTTGGTAAAAAATCTAATTTCGATTCGCCATTGAAACAGGGAGTTCTTACTTTCAACCTCTCTCATGGAACCTCCGATTGAAGGTAGCTCTTGGTGCTGCGAAAGGGCTTGCATACCTTCATAGTCCAGATGCAAAAGTTATATATCGCGATTTCAAATGCTCCAATATCTTGATTGATTCTGTATGTATCTCAAATTCATTCCTGTTAACACCCTTTGTCATATGTATATTTCTTACAAGTTTGACTTTTATACGATTTTCCAGAACTACAACGCAAAACTTTCGGATTTCGGGTTGGCAAAAGATGGGCCAATCGATGGGAAAAGTCATGTATCTACAAGAGTCATGGGGACTTACGGGTACGCAGCTCCAGAGTACATGGCTACAGGTAATCTATTTTTGACCTAATTTTTTAAAATATTTTGTCGTGAATCGATCTTGTTTGTATTGATCTGATGTAAATTGTGTATTTGGATGAAGGTCACTTGACTGAGAGAAGCGATATCTACAGTTTTGGGGTGGTTCTTCTTGAAATTTTGACGGGAAGACGATGCATAGACAAGAATCGTCCATCTAATGAACAAATACTCGTGGATTTTGTTAAGCCTTATTTGATCAGCAAACGAAGGATTCTTCAAATCATTGATCAGCGGATCGACGGTCAGTATTCTTCCGATGTGGCCATGAGAGCTGCAATTCTTGCAATGAAGTGTCTTGCGAGAGAACCGAAGTACAGGCCGAGTGCTGCGGAGTTGGTGAAAGCGTTGGAACACCTTCAGGAATTGCAGAAAGCGTCGGAGAATTGTAGAAAAGAATCGGTTCGGAAACAGACCGGCAACAAAAATTCAGGTTGCCGGCGACCGGTGGGTTCTAATGGAGGTAGGGTTTAGAAAAGGGAGTGCAAACTGCAGAATCCTTGTATAGTCGTCGTTAACGTATAACTTGGAAAGTGTAACAAAGAAGAACAAATGATGTAAATAATTTGAATGTTTTTAGCTCTGGAAATGGGGGGTAAAGGCATCCATTATCGTCTTGCAGATCTTAAATTTGATTGTCACTGTTGCCACCGCCACCACCGTCCGCCACCATAGTACTGCCACTGGACTCAGAATGTGCTTTCGGGCATGATGCCATTGAGAACGAGGGTTTCTATTGTGCTCAAATATTTTTAGTATCAATTATCAAATATATATCTTTGATCAAAGTTATTAAATTAAAATTTCAAAGTTTGCATATATAAGTGTCACAGTTTACACAATTACACTAGTATTGGGTGCCCATTGCACAATCAGTCAATCGAAGTGCGATTAATTAGACAACAAATAAAACTTGTATTTGGTTTCGAATTTCTCTATTTTTATTTGAAATCAAATATAATGCAAATATATATTCGATAAAAAGATAAATAGTGTTTGAAATTAGTTTTTGATATCAATTTAAAAATAAAAAAACTGACTAAAAGCAAAAAAGTACTTGTATATTGTGTAGAATATTGTTTTTTTCCTCGTGAAACGTATACAATCAGATTATTTTCTGAAATCTAATAGGAAGAATATAAACATTCGATGTGGTTACATTGTTTTACAAATCAACTATAAAACCGATCTAATTAGATCCAAAATTTTAAATGTCAAAAGTAAACTTGAACATAAATTTTCATAACCGGTTATAGAATAATATATGGATATGATATTTGATACTGGATTTACTTCCAATTAATTTTAATCCGAAAAAGTCATAATTTCTATCTGAAATCCGAATAAATAGAGTAAATTACACTAATGGTTTCTAACTTTTTTTTTTCCTTAACTTAATCGTTCGTATTGTATGCTTTTATTGTTCGTATTGTATGTTTTTATTTTACGATTGGTCATACTAGATGTAAAAAGACTATATTGTCTTTATATATAGTTTTTTTTAATTAAATTAATGTTTATTGGTTATTTACTTATTAAAATATTTGCTTGATAAACCGGTGGGTCAACCTATACCCCTTTATCCATTCCTCCCAAACTAAAAGTTCGAAGCTTCATTAACATAAAATGACCACCACCGGCCATTGTGTATCTAAACCCACATAAACACAGGAAAATCACGCTTCATCTAAATCTTCTTGTTGTACTTCAAATAATTAGAATGTAAATAGTGCCCAACTTCCCTCATTGCTATGCAATCAACAACATCATACATAATCACCTTATCTGAGTATGCTCATTTACTCCAAACATATGTATGTAACTACATCAATTTTTTACTAGGTTTGGGTTACAAAGAAAGTATACCAAAGGAAAGGAAGGGAAAGAAAAAGAGAAAGTAAAAAAAAAAAAAAAAATAGAAAGAAAAAGAGAAGGGATGGTAGTGGCTTTTTGTACTCTTTAAAAAGAGAAGTGTCGATGGGTTACATATTGAAAAGAGGCAGCGATAATTTTTTGCTAATGGTTTACAATTTTTCCAATGAAGCTTTTAAGCGTGAGGAGGTTTCATGGTGGTGATGATATTTCTCAGTTAGACCGTCAATCCACCGGATACCACATATGAGGTGGGTGTCACGTCAGCACCACATTCTCCTACCACTAATATAAGATACCTATCACTAATACAAAACTCCACTTGTTTTTTTTAATTTAAATTTAATTTAAAAATACATTAAAATCATTTTTTTAGTACTAGTTTTTCCATTAATTTAAAATACCAAATTACATTAAATAAAAACTACATTAATTGAAATAAAAAATAAATAAAAATAACAATAAAAATAAAAATTACATTAGTTAAAAAAAATTAAAAAAAAAAAAAACTAAAAATTCCAACCATAAATAAATAAACTATCCCCTACGCCTACATCTAGGGGTTAGCAAAAAAACCGCAAAACCGAAAAACCGAGCCGATCCAGCCAATCCGAAACCAAAAAAACCAGAACCGAAATAAACCGATACCGAAAAAAAAACGAAACCGAAAATACCGACTATCTACGGGTTGGATTCGATTTGGATATTTTGATATCCGCAGATACCTGAACCGAACCGTCATATATATATATATATATATATATATATATATATATATATATATATATATATATATATATATATATATATATATATATATATATAGGTAAAGTGAATATACCTAACAACTTTATATAAGCTTAGGTACCTAACCTCATCAAAGTAGGTCATTTTGCATTAAATTTTCATTGCAATCATGCAAGGTTCTTAAACTTTATCCATAAACTTGATTTAATTCAAAAAAAAAATTGGAAATTCGTCATTATATTTCTTCTACATCATTTCATTTGTAGCGGTAGGATATGAAACCTATCAGACGGTATTCAATACAAATACGTGATGTGAAAGAAAGATATTGGTGAAAATCCAAAGATTTTGGAAGTAATAAAGTTATGGGGTTGAAGTTTAAGAACCTTAGATAATTACAATGTAAATATGATACAAACCGATGTAGTTTTATGGAGTTAGGTACCTAAGCTTATTTAAGCTTTTATATATATATATATATATATATATATATATATATATATATATATATATATATATATATATATATATATATATATATATATATACTTAATAACGTAATATACTGTATGATATATGTTTTCACATCTCCAATGCTTGCTTTATTTCTATGTTAGCTATTTGTCGATTTAAACTCCAGAATATTATCCCTTATCAGCTTTATAAACTTTCTATATATGTTTTCTGTGTGTTCAAACTGTTATGGCTAAAATTGAGAAATTGATTTTACATTCATCAAAGAATCGGTTTCATTATGCGATTAAAAATATTATTAAAAGCAAAATAAATGTTTTATATGTATATTACACCGACATAAATTAAACACATAAAATGTTGTCAACAAAGATAACATGTCCGTGATTTATTTTATAAATTGTTGTCAAGGAAATTGTTTCTATGTATATCTTCTTGTAAACTGTATCATATTTGATCTTCTGACTTTTGTGATGATTTAGCTTATAACCCGTGGTTATAAAATAAATCAAATTTTTATAGTAAAAACTTAAAATTATTAATAATTTATTTTAAATAAACTTTTAATTTAACAGATATTTTTATTAGTTATGTGAAATTATAATCAATGAATCAAATAAATATATAAAATTAATTTTTAATAAATATTACATATTTTTTATTTGTGAATTAATGAAAACAATAATTTATAATTTAAAATTTAAAATGGAATCACATTAATGAGGAGACCTAATAAATTTAAAATGGAAAACTAATACATTGACAAGTGGTAAGATATTAATTAAAATGTCTAATATGATGACACATGGCAAAAGAGCTACTCTTTTATTAGTATTGAAATTAGTGGTTTGCATTTTTTCTCTATTTAATGGGTACCCGTGAACCGAACCGTGGATATCCGCCGTCATACGGTTCAGTTCGGTTTTTTGCATAATTCGGTTCAGTTTCGGTTAGTGCATGTCATGTATCCGCCCCGTAGTCACGGTTCACAATTTTATTATTATCCGAGCCAAACTGTCCCGTGAACACCCCTACCTACATCGGGCTCGAACCGACTCTTTCATCGCTTGGAAAAGTTCCAAGTCTTCACCCTCGAGGTCGTCCGCTTTCAATTTCAAAATTTCCATATCGGTTTTTATTTGGAGCGTCTCTTGTGCCTCTTGAAATGATGATTGTGCTTCGATCATTTTTTGTTTCATCCGAATTATCACCTCGGCCTTCGTTTCTTAAAGTTGCACATATCGATCAAATTTATCGCAAAACATATCCATCACACTAGAATTTGAAGATGTTGAAGCCGTTTTTTTTTTAATATTATTTCTTCCAACGAGCCGACGAAGAGATTGGTTGTTTTCAAGATCTAGCGAATCGTCGTTGATGTCAATGTGTGTTCGGCCGTCCGATTGTTGGGAAGTTGCATCAGGGTTTCTCGAACGCTTTGAACCGGAAGATTACGAAGTTCCTTCCGTTTGCTCTTTCCATTTTGGGGCGTCTTTTAATTTTAGCCACAGTCTCATATATAGAAAAGTTTTGCGTGTTGGCGTTGTTTTTTCAAATTGCTCAATGGCGGCCTTGAAAACATCAAAATCGTTCGAACCACTTTTGCGTATGTTTAGGAGGTTTTTGTAGATTCCTCCAAACTCGGTGCATTTTAGTCGAATATATCGTCATTTCGAAGGCGTTTCGAGTTTCACTTTCCATTAACTCGTAGAAAATGACTCGGACTTTTTCCCAAAAACTTCCGCAAGGCTGACTATTGCCTACAATTGGATCTTGGGAAGCCGCCACCCATGCATCCGCTAACTTTTCTTCTTCTTCTTTTGACCGTGGAACCCTTTCTTGGGCGGTAGTGGGTCGGGTCGGTTTTTTCCCTTTTTTTTCTTTTTTGGTTGAGGTGGTGGTGAAGGTTGTGTTTCTGCAACAAAATCCGGCGAAAGTGGTGGTTGTGAAATTTATGATGGGTTTTAGGTTAAACAAATAAACTAGAAAAACAATTCCTAAGTTCACATGCAACCTACTTTGGATCTATGTTTTATCTATTGAACATACAACTTTGAATTGCAAAACAAGAACCCTAGAGGAGAGAGGCTATAATCGAAATTTACAACCTAGGGTTTAGTAATTACATACCTTTCAATTGTTATAGTAAACAATTGATAATTCCCTTGATCTTGATCTTGATCTTCTTGGAAGCTTAGCACCACAAGTGTAACGCCTCTAATGGAATCACACCCAAACTAGCAAGAAGGAAAGTATAAGGAGAGAGAGGGAGTATGCAATTTTCGGCCCTAAGGGTTTCTTCCAAAGAAAGAGTGACCAAAATATGAACCGGGAGGCTCCTTATATAGTTGAGGGATCTAGGGTTTAGGAAAAACCCTAATGCTCCTTGCTTAGGGCCTAAGCAAAGCCAAAGGCCTTATCCAAGCCCCCTTGGACGAAATCCTTAGGGTTTCCCCTGTAGATTTCGCCCACCTCCTTCCAAGGAGGTTCTGGAGCCTTCCACTCAACTATTAGATAATTGCAAAGTAGTCCCTGCACTTTATAATTAATTCTTTTAACCCCAAAATTAATTCTAATTAATTTCTGGCTAACAATCAATTAAACAAAATGATTTCTTATTAATATATTAATCTTTTAACATATTAATAAATTCATTTATATTAATTTATTAATCTTATAATAAATTAATATCTCTCCTTTCATAATTTCCTTGTCCGGTTGCTAGGTTTGAGGGCAACCCAAAAGGACTGTGCTGCTATCAATTCAAGTACATACCAATTATAGTTATGGGCTTAGACACCTAATCCAACAATTTAGGGGTGTTCGTTTGGATGGATCGGTTTGATCCGATCCAATCAAGTAAATCCAAATTGATTTCGGTTTTCAAAACATGGATCCGAATTGTCCACATTAAATTCAAATCCGATCCGATCCGATCCAATTACAATTCGGTTGGATCGGTTTTTATAATTCGATTTTCAAAAACCGAATCATTTTAAAATGACATATAATTATAATATTATCCAACTTCACACAAGAAGCAAAAACAAATAATTCAGTTGCGATTTGAAATTTATAAACAACTAATAATAAGATATATTATAGTTAAATATTTTATAGATACAAAAATTTCGAGAGAAAATGCATATTAATGTTTTTTTTATTGACTGAAACGTTTTGAACCTATTTGAAAAAATAAATCACAAAACTAATAGATTAATATATATATATATATATATATATATATATATATATATATATATATATATATATATTATAAATAGATAAATAATAAATGTTTATTTGGTTTTTTGGACAATTCGGTTCTTATTTTATAAACCAAAACCAATACGAAATCTAAAATTATAATTCACTTTTGTTGAAAACCAATCCAAAAATCCGAATATCCGATCCAAATAGTCCAACCCAAATTATCAAATTGGATAATTCGGTTTTATCCGAATAGTAGACAACTCTAGTGAAATTGGTGGTTGTTGTTGTTGTAATGATTGTTGTTGGAGTTGTTGTAGTTGTTGGAATTGTTGAAATTATTGGTATTGTTGTGACATTTGTTGTTGCTGGAAAGACGGAAAATATTGATATTGTTGTTGGAAAAATAGTGTTTGTTGGATAGGGGAACCGGTTTGAAGCAGATTGAGAAAACCGCCTTGAGGTGACTCCATATTCGGGAATTATCGATGTGTTTTATCTAACGCAAAAGCGTTATCGGGTTTGCGATTTCTGTAGTTTGGAGGAGTATTTTGGTTGGGATCCATAATTTTTGGTTGTGAAGATGTAGTGTGTAGTTTGTGTATAGAGAAAGAAAAGAATTGTGTAAAAAATAAGGAGTAAAAATGTGGCATTTATAGATAAATAAATTATTTTATTTATTTATTTATTTATTTTTACAAAACAGCTAGATAACGGTCCATTTATCGATCTTGAATCCCATTGGCCGTGCGAGTTCGTTGTCCCGATCACAACCCACCACGAAAACGAGCCACCACGAGACAACAGGGTGGTGTGCACGCCCGTTGTTCGTGGTCAGCTCGACCACGAAGCTGCCCGTCGAAGGTATATCGTTTGGCCTTAGAGTTAGTCATAATCACGTGCTAGGGGTTGTTGGTGACAAAGAGAGGAAGGAGACGAAAGATTGTTAGTGACGATAACGAGTCTAGGTTTGGGGTGTGGGACTCACTTGCTTTTTAAACAATTTCTTCAATAAACAGATAATCAATAATAATCAAACTAATTAAAAAGAGTATACATATTTAACATAGTAACTTTATGTATGTATATGACCGAGGCCAAAACGCACACCCAAAACTTACAATAAAAATGGGCCGAATTAAAATAAAAAATTAAAACCAAATACACAAATTACCTAAGAGTGTTCGGTATGGGACCAACGAGAAGCAACGCGGCTGACTTGACATTCCGCAACGGCTGCGTAACGGGGGGAACACCACCCCCCCTGCTCGTTGCAACTCGTCGAAGGCGCATCTCGTTGGCGTGGTGACGGGAAGAAACGGATGAATTTTGACCGTTTGAGTGCAATGGTTAAAAAAAAAAAAAAATTATTAAAAAAAAACAATTTATTATCCTATAAATACCTCTTATTTTATTTTAAAATTTTCACACTTTCTCTTCTCCTCTCTACATACTTTCAATTATCTTCAAAAAAATATGGATCCTTTCGACTCGTCCGATGATTCAGATGACGATATTTTCTTTAGGATGATGTATCATTTTTACACTATCGACCTGCAACAACCAGACCTAGCCTTGCTACTAACAATACGTGCGATGTTAAACAGAAATCGCGAGGAAGGACACGAACATCTATATCGCGATTACTTTGCGGATAATTGTGTATACGGGGCGAAGGACTTCAAAAGAAGATTTCGTTTGAGTAGGGATGTGTTCTTACGAATCGCCAACGCCTTGGAAAGCCGGTATCATTTCTTTACTATATTTTTATACAAAATAAATAAAAATGTACTACATGTTTCTTTAATTTTACAACATATGCACTATATTTTTAAACTGTAGTTAATTTATGTTTAGGTACAAATTTTTTCAATTAAGATATGATGTTAGAGGTAGACGGGGGTTTACAACGTTGCAGAAATGTGTTGCGGCCATTCGTTTGATGGCTATGGGGGAGTCACCCGACACCATGGACGACTATATGAGAATGTCCGAAAGAACCGCAAGAAAGAGTTTGTATACATTGTCAAGGGGTGTTGTTGAAACTTTTCGTGACGTGTATTTGCAGAAACCTTCGTTGCATGATTTGCAAGAATTGTATGCGGTGCATGAAGAACGCCATGGGTTTCCCGGAATGATCGGAAGCATTGATTGCACACACTGGAAATGGAAAAATTGTCCGGTAGCATGGAAAGGGCAATATGCAAGTGGTCATCACGGATCACCTTCTTTGGTGTTAGAGGCTGTCGCTTCTCATGATTTATGGATTTGGCATGCATTTTTTGGGGTTGCGGGTTCCAACAACGACGTCAACGTTCTTGATCAGTCGCCAATATTCGACGATCTTTTGAATGGAAAGCCCCGGATGCTCCTTTCACAGTGAATGGAAACGAATACAAATATGAGTATTACCTTACAGATGGAATATATCCCCAGTATTCCACATTCGTGAAGGCATTCGGCCACCCGGTTGAAGAACGAGACAAATTTTTTAAGAGAAGACAAGAAGGAACACGTAAGAATGTGGAACGTGCTTTTGTAGTGCTGAAGGCGAAGTGGCATATAGTCGAACATGCAGCACGACCATTGGATTTCGAAACTTTACGATATATCATGTATGCATGTATCATAATGCATAACATGGTAGTAGAAGATAAATGAAGAAATATTGCACACTATATTCCAACGGAGCCCAGACACGTTCAGTTTCAACCAGAAACAACAGATTATTTGCATCGCGTTGTTGACATTCAGGACGCAAATAAACACAGACAACTTCGAGAGGACTTGGCGGATTATATTTTCTATGGTAACAATAACGATAACGAATAGCGTTGTATTTTTTTTTTTTTGAATTTGGATATTATTTCTTTTTTCTTTTTGTTTTTGGATATTATGTGTAATTTAGTCTTTATGTTAATTTTAATTTTTAGAAAATTTTAATTGTTTTTTATACTTTTTAAACATTATGTTTTATTTATTTTTTAATTTAAAAAATATTTGTCTCAATTTAAAAAAAATCGAAATAAAAAAAAAAAATAATGTCATAACAAGATATAATATATTGTCCATTTCCTCACTTGGTGTTATAACATCATTGATAATGTGGTATGTGATATGACACCAAAATGCATCTAGTTACCCGCACATTGTGCTCTAAACCACAAACACTATTTTGTAATTTGCTCGGGTAAATATAGTCCACCGGGTTATCTAAAATCCAAAAAAAGCCATCTAAAAATCCGGATAAATTCGATGATTATCCCGGTTCCCTTTATAACCGGTTTTATTAAGGTCGGATAAGAATTCCGGGTTTTGTACGCATCATGGATATTCTAACGGGACAATAAAGTTAAAGCCCACTTCACTTTCTGGTTGTAGCTTCTAGGGCACGGCTAAACAGTGTAAGGCTGTAAAATTTTCAAATCGAGCATCTGGATCTACCAATCTCTTTTCTTGTCGATCTCCTGACCCGTTCTTGTCATCTCTCAGGTAAATTTATCATCTTGATTTCCTTATCATTTCAGAATAATCTTGATATATATTAAAGGGTTAAAACGTTTGAACTTCTCGCACTTTCGGTTATCGATTCGAATCAAATCTAAGAATATGATTTTTTTTTTTTCTTTTAATTTTGTAACATGATTCCTCAAAATTTGGAGACTTTGCTGATACTAATTTTATTGTGAACCGGACACATCTATAAGATTCGATTTCGTTTGTTCCGAGGCAAAGCTGTGATAAGTCCTTAAGAAAATACAAAATTCTGTATTGATGTGAAGTTATAACGTTGGTTATTTTCATATTCAGATTTCTGGAAACTTGGATTCAGTTTCGTTTCTATATTTGAAAATTATATGTGAACTATATGTTCCTTGAAAGGGTATATCCTCAAGTTGCCTAATTGTATAGTGACTGAAACTTGACAGTAGGTATTCTACTACAGTTTAGTTGCCGAGGTTGAACCATGCGAAGATATAGTCCACCATATCACAGTCCTCCACGGAGAGATAGAGGACACGGAGGTCGACCAAGAAGCCCTCCCCGAAGGGCATATGGTGGTGAGCGAGGAAGGCACAAGGATCAGAATCATGGCAGTCTTTTGGTTCGTAATATTCCATTAAATTGCAGGTAAACCTTTCTCTTTCCATCTTAAATCTTCAAAACTTTTTCCATTGCTGTTTAACCTCAGCCTTTTGGGATTCCCTGTGATTATCTAATTGTGATTTTCCAATTGAATTTATAGGCCAGAAGAGCTTCGTGTCCCCTTTGAAAGGTTTGGAGTCGTCAGAGATGTCTATCTCCCAAAGAACTATTACACTGGGTAGGTTTGCGCATCTGACCTCCATTTTAAATCAAATGTCATAAATCACGATGTTAAATTATAATCTCAAAGTGAATTGGATTATGTTTGTTGATATGGATTCACGCTAGCTAGGCATGTCACGTGTGATTAAGAATATAGTAGCTGGGAGAAGAGTGAGTTTTCTTGGTTTTTAAAAAAAAAAATTGTTTTACGTGTCATTTTTTTTTTCCTTAATTTGTGTTGATGGGGAGTTACGTTTTGACCTGGTTTGTCAGGGGGTATGTTGGTTTGAAGTTAAAACAAGCCCAAGCCCCACAATTGATGAAGGCTCTTCTGTTGTTTATCATTGCTTAACTTTTTCACCAAAAGAAGAATGTTTCATTATATAATCAATCACACAATCATTACAAGTTTTGATGTGGAAAAAAGATTGTGAAGAGAAGTTGAGGCAAATTTTAACTTGTGGACAAGGTTGATTTCAAGTTCATCACACTTATTTACAAGAAACCTGAAGACTTTTGAAGTCACTTTCATCTTTTGAAGTTGCCAATTTGCCATTCGTACTTGATTATAGAAGAAAAGGTATACATAATTAGAAGAATCTTTGGTCGCTTAGTATGTGTCACATACTGGTTGGTGTTTCTTATTATTAGCAAAACATTAAACATACTTGGCATTTTCTTTAAAATATTGTTTTTTAATTTTATGCAGGGAGCCACGTGGATTTGCATTTGTGCAATTTGTGGATGCTTATGAAGCTGGAGAGGCCCAATACCATATGAATGGACGAATGTTTGCTGGTAGAGAGATTTCTGTTGTTCTTGCTTCTGAATCAAGAAAAAGACCCGAGGAAATGCGCCGAAGAACTAGGCCTAGGTTAACATTAATTAACACATGTTTTTTTATTTTTATTTTTATTCTTAACATTCTAATTTCTATAAAGGTTTCTGATATTTATGTTGTTGGAAACTAATTTAGGGAATCTTCGGGGTATGAAGGAAGGCGATCTCATCATGGTAAGTTAACATCATGACATCATAACATCATAACATGATGCTTTGTTTTTGTTTTTGTGTTTGGATTTTAATTTGTTCATTTGTAATTATTTAGGAGGGCGATCTCGGTCACGTTCGCGGTCCCCACGACGTCCTTCAGGTTCTAGAAGCCGTCAAAGGTCAAGGTAGTTGACTAATTTCTATTTTTCATAACTTTATTTCCAAAAATTAAAAAAAAGGTTGAATTATTATTTGACCATGTAGGTCCTACTCGCCTGCTCCGAAAAGACGAGGTGGCGACTACTCTGAATCACCGCCACCTGTAAGAAGAGAGCCTCAGGTTGATGATGATCGTGGCCGTAGATCTTATTCTCCAGGCTATGATGCAGCTGCTAATGATCATAATGTTGATAGGTATGTCTGTATGTGTTAAGCACTTGGTTTTTAATTTCTTTATGTTTTTGTAATTTCTTAAGGTGGTTATGATGTGATTGTGTAGGAGGTCACCATACAAGTCATCTGGGAGAGCAGCAAGGTCGCCATCTGGATCTAGGTCTAGGTCTAGGTCTAGATCTAGATCTGGTGATGACATGTCACCACCACCCCGGACCTGAAGAGTGGAGACCCCTCGTGTTATGTTATGGGGGTATGTTTGGTATTTGTACATGTATGCTTCATATTTGCTTACTAAGCTGAGAACAACACTTGAAAAACTTGTTGTGTATTATTTCTACACTCTGTTGTATTTCATGGATTGTGAATGCTTGAAATCTATGTATTGTTTATTACTTGTTATTTTGCTTGATTAATCATGTAAGCTGAGTTTCTTAGCTTATCCTAATTTTCATTTATATTGTGTTTGTTGATTTGTATGAAGCGTAATACACTGCTATGAAATCCTGTTTTTTTCTTAATTGATGTATGGAATACTCAGGTGTTTGACAAGAGCTTAATCTTGAAAATTTATTTCACTTGATGAGTACCCTTTTTTTTTTTTTTTTTTAATGTTGATATATGATTTAATATATGTTACATTTATGTATAATTTGTCCCTTATTGTTGCAACTACAGTAGCTTCTTTGTATGATTTTCATTACATTTTGCAGTTAAGAAAAACTTTCATGTGTAATGTATTAACATTAATTACTTTAATGACTTGTGGATAGTATAATAATTAATCTTATAGTTTCGTATTAGTTGAACAAAAAACTATTTTAGTTTTCTACTGTGCATGGAAAATATGTCCTAAATATACAGAATTCAGTTTAGCCGTAAACTGAGCAGAATGACCCAATAACAGTTAAATCGAACAGTTAATATAGAATTGTTAAAAAACCTATTAAACCGAAGCCCAATTAATGTGACTGAATAACATGTTGATATTATCATTCTTTACTATATAACTTATTAGGGTAAATTACACCAATCGTCCCTCACCTAAGTACCGAAAGTCATGTTTAGTCTTTATTTTCAAAAATTAATTTGGACCTTTCCTCAATTGTTTTAAATTTGCATGCTTCGGCCCTAATATGCGATTTTATTGCGATTTTAGTCCGTTCCATATTTAAAATGACCATAATGCCCTTTATGTATTTCTTTTCTAATTGATTTTACGTGATAGTTATTACTGTTAATTAAAAAATAAAAAAAATAAAAAAATATGGTCCTACTTCAAATCCAACCCAACCTCCCCACCCAACATACCATTCCGTTACTGTCTTTCTTCTCTAAAGTTTTCAAAAAACCCTATAACCATTCATCCTAAAGCCACCGTAGGTGGATAATCTCCCCGATGAACCCTCTCTGCGTCCATCACCATCTCTGATGAACCTTCTCTCTCTCTCTCTATATATATATATATATATATATATATATATATATATATATATATATATATATATATATATATATATATTGTTTGAAGAACACTTAATCACCATCATCAATGAAAATCAACACCACCATGGCCTGAATCACCACAAAGAGATCGCAACACCACCAGAAACTTACCTTCCTCAGCCTTGCAACTCTTCACACTTGCACACTTCCATAACTGATCTGTCCTTCAAAACCCCTTTGTAAATTTGCTCCTCCCTAACAAATTCGACACAAAAACGTCAGGTAATACTCCGGCGGAATGTACATCAAATCTAGGGTTTGGAACTGAGGTGGAGGTGGAACTAGGGTTTACAATCGAAGATGAAGGTAGAAAATAGTAGAATTGTTCTTCCTTTTCAGTCGGTGAGGGTGAGGGAGAACACAGTGACGGTGGTGCGGAGAAGAAGGGTTTAGCCGGAGTGCAGATGAAGGGTGGTGCTTTAGGCGTCGCTGGAAGTGCAGATGAAAGGTAGTTGCATATTAGCATTCAGTAACACCATCACCACCTCCTCTTAGGATTTCAAATTGACACATGAAGCCATGGATCTCATTCACTTATGCGCCACCATCGATCTCCATTGGCTAGGGTTTCGAAATCGACGATGTTAAGACCGATCTCCTTCTTCACTTGTGTTCATATTGATTTTCGATAGGTGTAAGTTTTCAGATTATGTTTTAGTTGGAGGAAGTATTGGAGGTGATCGATGGTTGTGCCGAAGGAGATGACGACGATATGTGGTGGTGCCGAAGGAGATGACGGTGACAGGTGGTGGTGTCGAATGAGTAGGCGGTGATAGGTGGTGGTGGGTTATTTATGGAGAACCTTGTTGCAAAGATGGGGAAATGGAAGGCAAGAGGGGATATTTGGTTTATATTTTTTTTTTTATTTTTTAAATTTAAAACTGATAAATAAATAAAAGAAAATGAAAAAGAAATTACTAAGGGTAAAGTAGTCATTTCATATCAATAGGGACCAAACATGCATGAAAGAAGAAACCTAGGAACGGTGAAAGTTAATTTTTAAAAATAGGGACTAAACATGTTTTCTGGCATGTGCACGAGGGACGACTGGTGTAATTTACCCAGCTTATTAGGAAGAAAAAAAATGTTAGATGTATATATGTAATATTTTTTGAAGATCAATCAACAGGCAATATGTAAAAGATATTGTTAATAATGGACAGCAAATAAATGTTTATATCTTATATTTAAAGTAATTCACTGATATATAAGAAGACTATTTTGTTATTCAATATATACTTTCTTAATATTAGAATTTATTGAACACTAAATACTAAATTACTGTGTGCACTAGTTGAGTTTGTTGGGATTCAACATTTTGGAGTTTGAGATAAAAGTTATTTAAAAAAATTCAGACACTATTTTCTATAATTTGTAATTTTTGTAACTTATTATTTGATTTTGATCATTTTATATTACATATACTTTTCTTCAAAACGATGGAAACGCTCACTATATGTTCATCGAAAAGCAACCCTTCTTGAAGTTTTTGCATTATGAGAAAAAAATGGGTCGAGTTTGCATTATGCGGAATTTTGCAATTTGTATAACAAAAATGATCTAATTTTTTGATTCCAACTGCTTCGGATTATTTACTTTGATTACAAAACTGAAAGAAAGCGACTCCAATCTCTAACCTACACAACCGTTGATTCCTTAATTCACTACTCGATACATGGAAGGGGGTTGACTTTGAAGGAGTCAAAATTAAGAAGCCATTGAAAGAATCTTTAAAAGTCTTGTTCAAAATAAAAAAACGACCTTTTCATGGCCTACCAAAGAAGTACCAACCTTGGAATAATTACAAAAAAAAAAAAACTACTAGTAGCTTGAATGCTTGATTGTGACTTCAAAATTTGAGGGCTTAACTTATAAATACTCTCACCTCTACGCTGTTATCATTTACGTATGATTTTCAGTTCATTCTGCTGTATGATCTGACTAGACAGAGAAAGAGAGATTAAGAGAGAGAGAGAAATCTGAAGTAAAGAGAGATGACGATCGGAGTAATGGAGGTGAACCTGGTGGATGCTCATGGTCTCAAAAAATCCGATTTCCTAAGTACGTACTTCTCTCAATTGAATTCCAATCTTGATGATTAATAAAACGTCATATACAGATATGTTCTTTTAAAAAGATTTACAAGCACCATTTTTTATATCCTCCTTATTCGTTTTCTTGCAGACAACATAGATCCATATGTGTTGGTGCAATACAGGAGTCAAGAGCACAAGAGCTTAATAGCCAAAGGTAATTAAAACCTTTTTTCACACTATTTTTGGAATACGTCATACACGTGACCATTTGAAATACTTATCGACCTTAATTAACTAAATGATACAGGGAGTGGCAGCAACCCAAAATGGAACCAAAAATTCACATTCAGGGTCGAATATCCAGGAACAGACGATCACCCTAAGCTTTTTCTCAAGATTATGGACCATGACACCTTCTCATCTGATGACTACCTCGGACAAACAACGTAAGACCTTAACTTGATGATTTTTTTTATTATGATTTCACAAAAGACTGCAACTGTTTGATTTTGGTTACTTATTGATCATGATGCATGCAGGATATACTTGAAAGAACTGTTCGAATCTGGAGTGGAGAGTGGAACTTCTGAACTACGTCTTCAAAAGTATCGTGTTGTGGATAGTAGTAGCCATAGCTTCTCTGGAGACATTCGAGTGGGTGTCACTTTTACCCCAAGGGTATATATTTATCTTTAACTATTTAATAAGTGTATACAGCAAGAATAGAAGAATGATGAAATGTATTATACTTTTGCTTATATGACCCTTTTGGTGTTGTGTTTCATGGTTACAGGTTGAAACAGAATTTTATTCACAAGAATTCGGAGGATGGAAAGAGAGCCAACGGTAGTTTGTGGATTTTGCCTTGTTTTTGTAATTACTATTTAGATTTTCTAGGTTCTCAATATTTGTATTTTAGATGACCGAAATCATGTAAATTGTATCTTGTTTTTTTAATTTAATATTGTTGTGGAAATGTTTATAAAACATTTTTTTTTCGTAAACATCATATTCTTCTTTTAAGTTATATTTAACATTATAATTTTCATGTAACATTTTATAGGGTGATTAAAAGAATCCGGTGACATAAAAAGTTTACCTAGTAAAAGATCAGGAATTGGTGTGTGGGTCGCATAGATTTGATTTCATATTTCTCTTTTATTCTCCTATTTTGGTGTTTGTTTCCACCTTCTTTTTTATTTAGACTTCGAATGATTTCTTTCTGTGTTCACAACATAGTTGAACATGTACTTGTCGATAGGGGCCCTGAATGGTTGCCTATATTGTGACCCACTTCGTGAGAGAAACTAATTTATGGTATAGAGTTTAAGCAAATGATGAAATGGTGTAGAAGATGAGGGCTTATATTGATTTAGTAGGCTTGTAGATTTTTCATTTTTACTTGTACATACATATTATTGAAAAAAATGGAGCGGAGGCTTATTTATTTTGCTTTTTTATTTAAAATTACTTAAGAAATGTAAAATAAAATAAAATTGTATAAATGTCATTTTATATGTGTAAAGGACCAAACCATAAATATCAAATTCATAGTTGTTTTAATAGGAGTAGTACCAAACGTATTCATAATTGTTTTAATAGGAGTAGTACCAAACATATTTGTTGGTACGATGGTTTATTTTGTTGGTGTGGTAGTAAACCAGAATGAACCATTTAAACACTTTCATATCAAATAAATCAAGTAACAACACCAATAAAAGCATTTGTTTTTGTGATTTCGAGGGTTAGGGAAAAAAAGTGCTTATAACTTATTGTTTATCCCTATGACCATAAATTAAGTTTAAGTGTTTGCAGAGAAAATATTAAAAATCAACATATTATGGTGAGGATAAGCTAAATAAACTAATTTTAAAAAGCATCCCCCCTTGCTTATATGTTATAGTTTATTTCTAATCCAAATACTTTTGCAAAAACTGCTTACTCACACTGCGAGTGGTACAAAGTTATTGTGCCAAAATCAGAAGGTGGTTTAGGTGTTGGTTCGTTATTCGCTCAAAACATTTCCCTATTAATCAAATGGTGGTGGAGAATTATGAATGACAAAGGAAGTTTATGGAAATGTGTTATCGTGAGCATCCATAATTTGTACAACAAACCGGCATCGTATATCGCGAGAAAAACATCAAATGGAGTTTGGTGTAATATTTCCAAGGCTGTTAGAGCTCTTGATAGTTTGCATATTGATTGCAAGGATATTTTTGCCCTTATCCCAGGTTCGGATGTCAACATCTTATTATGGAAAGATTCTTGGTGCAGTAACATTCCATTTCACCTCAAATTCCCTCACTTATATTCAATTGAAACAGTTAAAAATTGTTTATTGAGAGATAAAATTTCTAGCAATGGCTTTCCATGGATGTGGAGATTTGAACTAACTGGTTAAGAAGAATTAAACGAACTGCTATAGCTATATACGGATATTGGTAACCTGAATATCGAGCAAAAATCCAAATTTGGGTTCAGGTTTCCTCTTAATCCTAGTGGTGAATATAATGTGAATTCAATGAGGAAATTATTGGAGTCTAAACTAAATACTTTTAAAGGGGCGACAATTTGGCGGTCAAAGATAATTCCTCTGAATGTGCGATGTTTCATGTGGAGGTCGGTGTTAGGTAGAATACCGGTGGCTGAAACCTTGGCTGTTAGGGGGATAAATACCTCTAGTACCCTATGCTCTCTCTGTAACACAGAAACTGAAACAGCTGATCATTTGCTCATTACTTGTGGCTATTCTAGAGTGGTGCAACATTGGATATTCAAATGGTGTGGATTGGAAGACATTATGTTCTCAAATATTCAAGAATTCATTGACTTCGCGGCTACTTGGGGAAATTATCCTAGAACATTTTGCTATCCATGAATGACAAGATTTTCAAACATATTGGTGCAAATCCTACAAAAATCGCTGATAATATAATTTCGCTCTCGTACATATGGTGTAAGCATCGAGGTGGCACTAGTTGTGGTAATTGGTTTGAATGGAGCGTTTCGCCTTTCACTCATTTTTCATCTTAATTTCATGTTTGCTCTGTTGTTCATATTTCCTTTTCATGTTTGTACTTGGACTCTTTGTAGCTTCTTGCTATGAGAGTAGGCCTGACAATGGAGCGGGTTTTGACCCTAATCCGATCCAAACCCTTAACAATTATATAGGTTTGGAGCATAGTTTTTGATCCGTTTACCCGTTAACGGCCCATACCCGCTAACCCTTTTATTAAAAGGGTCGGGTATGGATCAGCACCGATCCGCTCCGTTTATAACCCGCCCCATATAAATTTTAGAAATATAAATTTATATTTTATATTACCTAGAGTTACATTAAATTCCAATCAGAAATCCAAAGAGAAAAGGCTAATGATTAAATTGTTTTTACATAGGAGTCAAGGACTCAACTTCTTCTAGACTTCCAATCTTCTACTCTTCTCACATGATTCATGATTTCATTTCCTTTATATTTCATCATGTAATCACGAATTTCATTTATAAATTAATAAGGTTATTTATCAACCGGAAGAAAGTTTGTAATTTCTATTCTCTATTAATGCAATCGACGCTCAAAAACCAATCTGAAGTAACTAAAATAAGGATTAGAAATTCCTTGAGTACATAATGTGTTTTCTAAATCAAAACTTCGTTTTATTTAATAAATGTGATTTTATGATTTAAGTAAAATGTGTTTTATTATTAAAAAAACCTGCAGGTTACGGGGTAGGTTTGGATATCTGCTGATTCGGTGGATAAGGGTATGTGTTTGATTATTCAAAACCCTGCGGGTTACGGAGCGGGTTTGGATCGGATTTTGAAATTTATTAAAGGGGTTTGGATCAAGATCGATTCGCTCCAAACCCGCCCCATTACCAGGTCTATATGAGAGTGCCCCTTTTAATGATATTTGTTTTCTCTAAAAAAAATAAGCTAATTTATCTAAACATACCAATAAATGCATTATTTCGTTCAAAAATTTCATTTCGCATTAAATTCCTCTAAATTTGCAGAGACCCCTCCCATTTATTTGGTTCGATTTTTTGTTTCCCTCCCACTTATTATGTCTCCCCCATTCTTCCCTCCCAAATCCGCACCTTTATCTCTCATATCGACTCCTTCACTTCTCCTTGCAAATCGACTTGTCCTGAATACACTATGTGATTCCAAAGTCAAAAAAACATAAAACCATTTAGGTTATATCGCTTAATTCCAAAAATAGTCATCTTCTTGTTCCCAATATTCCAATAGGCAGAAACCCTAGCCACAACCTATGACGACCCCTTCCGTCCGGTGACACTTCACCATTATAAGTTTCTTGGTATGTGGTTTCTTTTCTTTAGTTAATACAGTGTTCAAATTTCTTGAAGTAACATTAACCATTTAGGTCTACATATCGTAATGGCAAATAAGTTGTTTTAACTTACCAATATTGTTTTCTTGTTGCTTGTTTTCTAAGTATATCCATCTTATTTCGTTATCCAACAATTAGGAGAATCGAAATTTTTATATGCAAAAGGTATTCTTCTATTTCTTTTTTATTTTCTTTTTAACTAACCAAATTATAATTTCTTTGTTATATTTATATTATGAGTTTATGGTTTAGGCAAAGCCAAGGATTAGTAATTTGAGTTAAAGGTAGAAGCAATCGCGTACTCTAGCTTTCCAAGACAAACACATAAATCGTCGCAGATGAGTTGTTAACCAAATACAACATCATCTAACATCATGGTTGATGCATATGTAATATTTGGTCTTTAGGAATGATCGAAAAACTTTGAATTCACATACTCATCGAAAATTTTCATTAAGAAAATTATTAGGGGGTGTTGGATAAATAGTTTTTAGCTTATTAGCTTATTGTTTATTTGCTTATTGCGGTGTGAATAATCATATTTTTTTTTAAATGTGCTTGGATTAGCTTATTGCGGTGAGAATAAACAATAAGCAATAAACATTGTAAGTGTTTAGCAAACAAAACAACTTATATTAGTAAAATGACTAATAAGCAATAAGCATTCCCCAATTGTTTATTAAAATCAACCATTACTTATTAAAACCAACTTATTTGGTTTATTCCTACCCCAATAAACTGATTTTTAAAGACTACTATTCAAACACTTAAATTTGCTTATTGCGGTGGGATTAAACAATAAGCAATAAACAATCTATTTTTTCCCTATCCAAACACCCCCCTTAATCATGTCAATATTTTTGGTTGTCTTTGGGTGCCGTTTTATAATTGTGTGTTTGCTATTAAATAATGTGGTTCTATAGTTAGTGGTGTGGCTTCTTGTTTTTTGGTGCGGTTAGGTGTCTTTGGTGCATTCTTATTAAACTACTCTCATTCACAACCAAAACCAACCCAACTATCAATTAAAAAAACAATTTATCTCTCTTCCACCTACACAATCAAACTAAACCAATTTTTCACACCCATTAGCAACCCAAACCAAACCAAACTTTTATATTATTTATAATTATTTATTATTATATTATAAAATCTAAATATTAAACATTTTTTAAATTATAACAAAAAATTTTCTACTGTTTTTAAGATTATATAGACAACATAAAAAAAATCAAGAAAAAATTTCTTAACATATATCAATATTGGTCTTTATTTGTAGACAATATTATTTTACGTATTTTAGTGTGTTTTGTTTATTTTTTAGTAAAACTAAAAATAAACTAATTACAATATAATGCTTAAAATGCAAAAGAGTTATAACAAATAAATAAAAAAAAAAAAAATGAAATTGACAACTAAGGTTTGATGGAGCAACCTCAAAGGATTTTTTATTTTTTTTTAATTGAAATATGGCAACCAACTAAACATTTGATTGCCAATAGGATGATCTTATTACCACACAATTAAGTAACGATATTTGTTGATGCGATATTAGTTGGTGCGGTTCAATGCCCACACCAATTAATGATTTTAACCGCAATAATAAATGCTTTCTATACTAGTGCAATTGTTTTACCTATGACATTTTTCAAAGCAAGTGAATAGATTTGGATATTTTGTCTAAAATGTAATCTATCTTCTCTAATAAATGAAGGTTTTTTTTGCCACTTATCACACTTTCATTCATTTTGCCACATGTCATTTTGTGGTTATTTTGAATTAATTTTTATTCCATATGTAATTTTGTGGTTTTCCTATTTTATTAAATTCCATATGGTATTTAAATTTAATAATAAATGCATATCAATTTCATTAATTGACTTTCCTTATAATTTCAAAATTTTAAAATAAAATCTCATTAATTTGCTTTGATTATTTTATATAAATGATTTGTTTAAATTTGAAAGAGAAAAAAAAACACTTTAATTTTTAGTAATGCAATATTTTTCTTATAAATTTAACTTTCCCAAATGTTTATACATATTTAATTGTTTTAAATACACCCATATAATACATGGAACTCACACCTAATCTCTAATAAATGAATCCTAAAATTGCCACGTGTCATCTTTTTAAACCTTATGTTTATTGATTTCCCGCTCACTTTACTCAAAATCAGATGAGTCAGAATCCCAAATAATCAGCAATCATTCCTATTTTTGCTTATTTTCCAATCTCTAAAATTGGATATCTTCAATCTATCCCACAAAATCAGGAATGATTTATCTTCAACGAATTCAATCCAATGTCAATAAATCACGATTGAAATCAAGTTATCAACAACCATCTGCCTATAATCTTTGTTTTTGTCTTCACTACGCCCGCCAACTTCCCTTCTACACCCATCAATTTACTCTATCCCATCTTAATGAAAACCCTATAAATTTGACGGAACCACCACCTTACCTACATGGCTACATGCCAACTACTGCCTCTGCGAATCTAAGCCATTACCTAAAACACAACAGCCAATACCACCACATCTCTACCACCGTCACATGTCCTTCTTTTCCCGTCTGTGTCATGTCCTTCTCGCTCTTTCTTACTTCTAATTTGCTTTCCTTCTCAACCATCGTACGACTACTGAAAAAGACAAAACAAAAGCAACAAATGAATGGGGTTGAAGGTAATGTATCTTTGTTTCTAACGGTGCATAATTCTTGCCCACTAACTGTTCGACCAAATGCATTGTACAATAAAATTCAATTTTTCGGAAAAAATACAATTTAAACTATTAAAGGCGTGTTTTAGCCACTCCAAGCATGAATTTCTCACTCCACCTTCATAAATAATTACTATAAAAATAGCATTTTTCTTTTTTTCCTTCAGACTAATGTAATGCTAATATCTTCTTGCTAGAAAAAAGCTTTGACCTTAACAGTGTGTTTTGAAGTTCTTTATTCATAGAATAATGGATTAAGGGATTGGGAATAAATGTGGAACTTCAAGATTTTACTATAGATGTATTGCAACTTAGATTAATGGGTATATTATCCTGAACATACCTTATCGAGGACATGTGAGAGTCTCTAATACATATCTTAAAGTTAAGTTTGAATAAAAATGTTTAAAAATATGATTAGTAAAAACTACCTTTTTGCATCGTGGACATTATCACATGATGCTTTGATCTTCAGAGCTATTTAGAAAGCAATACCTAAGAGGTATTCTTTCTTAGGTTTTATGTCTAATAGGATTATCAGGCTCGATTCAAGACCTTTGTGTTAATATTTAGACAAAATTGCAAAAATGGTCCCTGTGGTATGCAAATTTTGGGGGTTTTAGTCAAAACAGTGATTTTTTTGGTTTCGTAGTCCTTTTGGAGTGGTTTGTATGTGAAAATGGTCTCTCCGAAAATTGAAATGACTATAATACCCTTGGGGTATTTATTTTTCATTTTTCTTTCATTATTCTTAAAATTTAATATTTATTTACTTATTTTAACAATTAAAAAAATAAAAAAGGTTCCACCTCTCTCTCTCTCTCTCTTAAAAAACAAAGCAGCAACCGTTGCAGTCCTACTTCTTCCTTCTTTCTCGACAACAGACAAACCTAAATACCCCTGGAGAGCATCATTTCTAGCTGCACCCACTATGGGTCGAAAACAACTCGTCGACACCCCTAATCACTAAGTGAATCTCGTGAAAAACCCACCGGAAGTTTCCCCCATTTCACGACTGTTTTCAACCTCCAACAAGATCCCTCATTGATCCATCTACTTTAATTTGAGATCCACAAGTTATCATTCCCGTTTTTTTGTCGAAATCAAGCCAAAACGACCAAGAACAATTACCACACGCCACCGTGGTCGGCGGTACGTAGAGCAAAGGCACAATTGCTCCGGTGGAATTTTTCAATTGAAATCAGATTTCCTAAGTTCTTAACATGTTTTCCATTATATGTGTGTAGATTGTCTCCAAATCATCCCGTTTAAAAAAGTTGAGTTTGGAATCGGTTTCAGATTTCTCGATCATTCCGAGTTTTCATCTTCTAGGTTTTCACAGAGGTTTTTTCTTTTTATGTGATGTAGGTCTTGTATCTGATTTCTTGTTCATCCAGTCACACTCCTGTACAGATTCAATATCAATGGAGTTATTATCGGGTTCCACCGTGTAGATTGGAAAATAAGCTACTTCAGAAACATCTCCTATTCTTATAGATGGATGAGCCACGTCAAAGGAGAAATACGTAGGAGGATGGTGCTCCGTTGTTGTTCCTGCTACAGAGTTGATGAGTTCCCCACCCACATCAGGACGGTGCAACGGTGGAGGTTGTGGAGGGATGTTAGTGGTGGTGAGGTTCTAAAGACCGAATACAAAAAGAAGGGGAAGCAGGTGAAGAAATAGCATTTTGGTTCCAATGATCGACGGCATAGCAGTGGAGAAGGCAAAGCATGAATCCAACGGTATTTTTGGGTTGTGTGTGTTTGGAGAGAGAGAGAGAGAGAGAGAGAGAGAGAGAGAGAGAGAGAGAGAGAGAGAGAGAGTGAGAGAAAGAGAGAGAGAGAGAGAGGTGGGTCCCATATTTTTTATTAATAAAACCTTAAATTAAATAGAAATAAACATATAAAATATATCAGAAGGGTATTTTAGTCTTTTCAATTTAGCGAAGGACCAAAATCACAAGCAAACTACCTTAAAAGGACCACCAGTCCAAAAAAGTCACTGTTTGGACTAAAATCCCAAAAATTTGCATACCACAGGGACCATGTTTGCAATTTTGTCTAATATTTATTATTGTTTATTTTAAGTTTATTTGGCACGCAAAGCGTGTTCAAGGAATTGAAAAACCTATTATTGTATTTCATCTCTTTTTAGAGTTCAGTTATCACCAACGAAGAGGTATCTTTGGAGATGAAGTGGAAGTACAGACAAGGTTATGACTTGTAAAAAGTTAGCATGTTATATTTTTTATTACTATGTGTGGTTCATCAGGAATAAAATGGAACGATTTTAGATGATTTTTTCTGAATTTATCTGCAGATATTTTGTTGTTTTATAAAATTTCTCTTAAAGATAAATTTAGATGGATGTGATTACTTTCTGACATGTTCATGCTATTTGGTGTAGAATTAATGTTTTGTTTTTTTATTGCAGTTGATACTGGACTAACGATGTTTATTGCATTATGACCACCAATGCAAATAAGGCTTTGCTTTTGTTGGATTACAAAAAATAAGTAAGGCATCTTCTTGTAATCAAATGTAAGGCAATCAAATCTCTGAAGCATTAATGATAAATTATGTTTTATTAGAAATGGTTTTATGCTTTTTTTGTTGATGACTTAAAACATTATTATCTTTCTTTTTTAACTGTTGTGTTTGTTGTTGACCGGAGTCAAGGTGTACGCATATTATCATTATTTTTTGTTATTAAGTAGTGTTTTTAGTGTGGCATTACAAAGTATTCTTTTTTTGCAGGATTGGAAGTTGTTGTTGATGGTGAGTTGGAGATCAATAGCAAAAAAATTTGTGGATTGATGCTGATGGTGACAAGCCAAAAAATGATACATTTAAGATAGTTATTGTTAGTTTTTTTGAACTTTTTATCAGTGAAAACTATTACATCTTATCGTTTGTAGTGACTTATTTCTTTGTAATGTTTAGTTCTACAACCATGTTATTAATTTCAATCAATCATCATAAAGTATATTAATTTGAATCAGGACAAATCATCAAACTTTGTAAATTAACAACTATTTTAAAATCACTGATTATTTTTTATATTTTTTAAATATCAATATTCTTTTACTTTGATAACCGTGGTTTCCACGGGTTATAACCTAACAGAATAACATTTTTCAAGTATCAAAATGCCTTTGTTTTAATTTCCTCAAACGAAATCTATAATTTGTAGACCATGAACTAATAATTATGAGAAATAAAAACAATATTACATTTCTTATATAACTTGTAAAAGATTTATAATAAAGAAGCTACTCTTCTCATGAGGGAAAGAAAACTTCAACTAGATTTGAAAATTTCACTCCATGCTGAACAAGTCAAAGACGCCAGCCATTGTAGGAATCTTGAAGTCTTGATCAATAACACCACAACCAACCAAACAACTGACTCTTTAAATAACCATTAAAGGCGTAGGTAGGTTGATTGGCAAGAATACAAAAGTTGAGGGTTTAACTTGTAATAGTATAGATACTCTCATCTCTCAGTCTTTATAGTTCCATCTATGTACGCTGCCGTGTGCGTGTGATTTTCAATTTCATTTTCACTTCATTCTTCTGTGTGATTTAGCAAACCAGATAGATTCATAGGGAGAGAAAAATCTGAAATTAAGAGAGATGACGATCGGAATAATGGAGGTGAATCTGGTGGATGCTCGTGGTCTCAGCAATTTCGATTTCCTCAGTATGTTTCTTATTTTTCTCAATTGCAATTCTTCTTATACCTTTTGTACACCGATTTTGTTCGATCAGACGCGATTGTTCATTTTATATGTCTATCGCATCTGTTTCTCGTAAATCTTCGGCTGGAATTCGACATGATCAGCCGACGAAGATTCATTCCTGCACTAGAAAGTCCTACAAACGTTCTTCGCATTAACACATTAATTGATTTGGTGGACCTACCACACTCCATTCTAGATATTTTGGTTATTTTCATTAAAAATTAGTATTTATGATATTTTGTTGTAGTCAACCATTGATTGTTAGCACTCCGTTCATCGTGTGTTAATTTCTCACCTGATCACACGATTTATTAGTTAAGATCTATTGTTGATCTAATTAATACTATCATGTTAGTGATTTTTGGGCTCCACTTACCAATTTTTTGTCACTATGATTGTGGGGTAATAGCTGAACTTAAAGCGTACACGAATCTTGATCAATAAAAAACGATAAATCTATGTTTCCTAAAATAACTTTATACTACTATTGGTTCACTTTACACAGACAAAATAGATCCATATGTGTTGATTCAGTACAAGAGTCAAGAACACAAGAGCACTATTGCCAAAGGTAAACCATTTTCCTTACTTAGTTAAAATCAAATGGTTTTTTTTTTTTTTCCATTGTAAACTTAATTACCATCTTTAAATGATGCAGGGCAGGGAAGCAAGCCAAGCTGGAATGAAACATTCAAATTCAGGGTGGAATTTCCAGGATCAGATGAACAACCTAAGCTTGTTCTCAAGATAATGGACCATGATACATTCTCATCAGATGACTACATTGGACAAACAACGTATGTAAAAGACTAATTTATCAAATCATGATAACATTTTGATTAGAGTTTCACAAAAAATCACAAGTTCGTGTATGCATGCAGAATATACTTGAAAGAAGTACTAGAACTAGGAGTGGAGAATGGAAGATATGAGCTACGTGCTCAAAAGTATAGTATTGTGGATAGTAGCCAAAGCTATCGTGGAGATATTCGAGTGGGTGTCTCCTTCACCCCAAGGGTACATACTCTTTTAATTAAACCTGCTATATACACAATTTATACAAAAAACAAACAAGAATGACAGGTATTTTTGATAATTAATTTGGCTTATATATATAATCTGTGTCTTTGATTTGATGGATACGTACAGGTGGAAAATGAAAGTTATGCACAAGAGTTTGGAGGATGGAAAGAGAGCCAATGGTAGTTAGTTTGTGGGTAATCCTTTGGTTTTTCTGTTTGGAAAATGTTGAAGTTTTGAGTATGTGAATTTTAGATGTTCCAAATGTAAATTGCATTTGCTTGTTTTAGTGGTCAAAGACTCAAAATGTTCATGGAACTTGAAATGGTTTCTCGAGGTTCATAATTTTGTTTTGTTTTTTTATCGTGTGTTCCTCACCAAAGATTACATCAAATAAAATAATAAGTAATATTCATATAACAAGAAAGTATTGATGTCTGATATGACAAGAAAGTAGTTTAATTTTGGTGTAAACCTCATAAATTTTCATTCAAATAATGTAAAAAGAGATGTGTAGCATTCAAGAAAAACATGATTGCTACAAGAAAATATAAAAAGGCAACAGTTTAGTCTATGAGGAATACTTGTTGGTAGGTAGCACTGTGCTGTGCAGAGTTATTATGAAAACTTTGAAAAACTATTTTGTTCTTTATATCGTACGACTAGGCTGACAGTGGTATTATGTCCTTGTTTTTTTTTAATCACTCAAAAAGACAAAACTGCAAAAATCGTCCCTGTGTATGCATTTTTTTGAGGTTTTAGTTCAAACCACGATTTTTTTGGATTGGTGGTCCCTTTGAGCTAGTTTCGTTGCGTTTTTAGTCCCTGTGAATAGTGAAATGACTATAATACCCTTGGGGTATTTATTTTCCATTTTTAAATTCATTTTTTTCTAATTTAATAATTATTTATTCATTTTAATTATTAAAAAAATAAGAGGGCCCACCTCTCTCTCTCTCTCTCTCTCTCTAAACTCCACCCCCTCATCCTTCTTCATTTACGACCAAGAATCCTATCGCCTTCATAGCCAAATCACTTCAAAAATCCCTAAATCACATTTATATCGGGTTGAAGATCGTGACCTCGATCAAAATTCCTAAATCACATTCAAAAAAATCCCAAAATCACATTCATATAAAAAATCCCTAAATCACATTCATTGCTTCAGTAATCCCACTGTTAAAATGGTGGCCTCGATCAAAAGTGTGTAAGTAATCACCATAGGTTTACAGTTATCCTCCAGCTGGCTGAATCGATTTGATTCAACTTACAAAACCCGCTGAAGTAGGCCCAATTTTAAGATCGATCACTTTCAGCATTCACTTAATCTAAATCTCTATCAATGGAAGATGCTTGGGGGGTATCGAAGGGGCTTTTTAGACATTGAAGATGGTAGCAGTAGAGGAGGCTGAAGACCACAATGAAGATGGCAGCGGTAGAGGAGGGTCGATGTTGTTTGTGTTGGGGTAGTGGGAGCATATGGAACCTCCGTGAGCAAAATCGTCATCATTGAACCACCACATAACACCACATAACACCCACGACGACTTCCTCTCCTTCCTTCTCCGACGACATTCTTTGCAAAAACCCTAATGCAGCCTCCCATATAGGGTTATCTCTGAGAATGTAATCCACCTGAGGCGGTGGGCGGATGTTAAGTAATTGGAGTAGATAGAGAGGAGGAAAGAGACGATGGTGGATTTCAGATTCAAACACACATATATCGATTTGAAAATGAAAACATACACGTACAAATCGATTTTTGAGCATTGTGTTTATACTTGAGCACTGTGTGTTCTTGAGCACTTGTTCTTAGCAATGTGTGTTTAGATTTAAAAACCAAAAAAATCTAGAGAGATTGAGAATAGGTGTGTGTGAGTGTATTACCATGTGTCGAGAGAGAGAGAGAGAGAGAGAGAGAGAGAGAGATAGAGAGAGAGAGAGAGAAAGAGAGAGAGAGGGGGGGAGGGAGGTGGGTCATCTGTTATTTTTTAATTGTTAAAATGAATAAATAAATAATAAATTTAAAAAAAAATGAAAGAAAAATGAAAAATAAATACCCCAAGGGTATTATAGTCATTTCAATTTTCAGAGGGACTATTTTCACATACAAACCACTCAAAAAGGACCATGAATCCAAAAAACTCGAGGTTTGGACTAAAACCCAAAAAATTTGCATACCACAGGGACCATTTTTGCAATTTTGTCTAAGGAAGGGACAATATTCCAATATTACTCAATAGTTAAGACCATTCAGTGAAATACCAACTACTCTTTCAAATATGTGTGAGCTTTAAAATAAACATTTGAGTAAATTGCAAAAATGGTCCCTGTGGTATGCAAAATTTTGGGGTTTTAGTCCAAACCACGAGTTTTTTGGAACCATAGTCCTTTTGGAGTGGTTTATATGTGGTTTTGGTCCCTGACTTAACTCCCGTTAAGTTGGAACTGTTAAGTCCCCTCACGTGCCTCACACGTGAGGGTAATTTCGTCATTTCATATGTCAGGGACCATTTTTGCATAAACGTTTTTTTGGATTAATTGACATTTACCCCTCATTTACTTTCCCCAACACTCGTCGACTCCCCAACTCCCTCCTTCTTGCTTCTGCTCCATTGAACCTGCAAAAAACCCTCGTTGCTTATCCAAACAAGATAATCGACACTACACATATAAGGGCATACGTTTAATACGAAATGGTGTTCGTAATGTGGCATATCAGACCAAAACGCGAAGTTGTTGATGTATCAACTGTATATGGTAAGCTGCTCTGTTTTCTTTAACTTTTATACTTTGCATTTTCTTATTGATTTAGAACAAAAAATGCAAAATTTTAACTTTGTTAATATGTATAATTTTGATTTTTAGCTGGTGCACCCACATGGTTTAGTATTAAGCTTCATCAAGGTGGGAAATTTACTAAATTACCTGATATAAAGTACATTGGAGGTGAAGTGCGTTATGTTGATTATCTGGACATTGATGAGTTTTCTGTGCATGAACTTGATGCCATAATGCTTGACCTAGGTTACCCAGACCCACGGAATTCTGAATTCGCTGATGAATCCCCAGTTATATACTACCATTTTAGGATACCCAATGGTGACTTTCAATTTGGTCTTAGAGCTTTAGGGAATGATCAGGATGTGATCAACCTTTCTAAATACATTGCACATAACAAGCTGATTGAGGTGTACACAGAGCATGGAAAGACAAATTTATTGACTTACTTCATGTCACCAAATGCAAAGGGTAAAGTTGTCATTGAGGAATTACCAGAAAATGATGATCAAGGGGCTGAAGTTGAGGGTCAAGTTCATGCAGATTCTCCAATGAAAAATGTGAACCATGGTAATGGTGAGCCTATTGGTGAGTTCATGTCTCTGATTCTTTTTGGGAGTAAGAATGATAGTTTCTCACCAGAGTATAGAAGGGGTAGGGTTGGGAATTCCAAAATAGGTGAAAGTTCTTGTAGCAAGAGGCTTAATTTAGATTATATTGATGAGGTTGTTCACATTTCAAAGGAAAAGAATGATGATCTGGATGGTTCAACTAATGTTCAGGAGGCAGCAACTTGTGTTCATATTGATGAGATGGATGGTGTTAGGGAGGCTGCAAATGTTGTTCAAGAGGCATCAACTTTTGATGAAGAAGGCTACAACACCCCCCTGTTAATAATGCTGATGAACAATTGAATGAGTTATTTGATAACCTTATGGAAAATTTGATTGGGAGTGATGATGATAATGCAGAGTATGAAGGGGATGGAGAATCTGAAGAGGGTAATCAAGAGTATGAAGAGGATGATGAATCTCAAGAAAGTGATCCAAATTTTGAAGAGTATGATGAATCTGAAAATAGTGATCCAGAGTATGAAGAAGATGAGAGACAAATAGAAGATGAAGATCATATGGATGACATAATGGATGTTGACAACAATATACAGGATGTGGATGTGGACATGGGAGACTTCACTCTCAATGTTGAAAGTGATGTGGAAGGTTCTTGTATAAATGTTGTTCATGGGCATGAACCTGAAGATATGGAAGTGATTAACAATGAGGAATTTGAATCTTTGGATGAAGGATCCGACCAAGACAGAGAGAGAAGAGCTCTTATCAAGAATTTGAGAAAAGAAAAAAGGTGCAGTCTTGGGGTAGTACATAAACAATCTTTTTCAGTTGGAGATAAATTTAATAGTAAAAAAGAATTAAAGGAGGCAATTGATCTGCATGCACTAGAATCAAGAAGGAATCTTTTCTTTAAAAAAAATGACAATGTAAGGCTTAGGGCACAGTGTAGAGGTGTTGTACCTGTCACCAATAAAGGCCAAGTGGGTAGTCAAGCTACCACTTCAAAAAGAAAGGGTAAAGAATTAAAGACACAAAAAGTAACATGTGGTTGGTACATTCATGCATCTAGGTCAAATCCTGAATCCGACTGGTTTATAAGGACCTTAAACCAAACTCACACATGTTTGCAAACAAGGAAACTCAGGGCTTGTACTGCTTCTTTAATCAGCAAGAAAATCTTTGATCAAGTTGAGGCGAATCCAGATATACCTTTGAGAGCTATACAAGATCACTTTCAAAAGACCTACCAAGTGGGTGTTAGTATGGACAAGGTGTTCAGGGCAAAGGATAAGGCAAGAAAGCATATAACTGGTGACTACACAAAGCAGTATGAACTGTTGAGGGACTATGTTCTCGAACTTCAAGCCACCAACCCAGACACCACAGTGAAAATAGATGTATGTTCTGAGCCTAACCCTGATTCCCCAACTAGGCAGTTTAGAAGAATTTATGTGTGCTTGGGTCCACTGAAAAAAGGGTTCAAGGCATGCCTTAGGGACTTATTAGGTTTTGATGGTGCCTTCATGAAAGGACCATTCCCTGGGCAAGTCCTTTCAGCAGTTGGTCTTGATTCCAATAATGGAATTTACCCATTAGCATATGGGATTGTTGAGTCTGAAAACACAGAAAGCTGGAAATGGTTTTTAGATAACCTTGGGGATGACTTGGACCTTGGAAGAAACTCAAATTTTACTTTCATAAGTGACAGGAAAAAGGTAAAGTTGGAAGTAGTTTTTATACATTTGGTCATTTAAAGTGTGGTTGTAAGTTAATTCTAATGATTGAAAATTAATTTTTGCAGGGTTTACATACTGCAGTTGAGCAAATTTTTCCCAATGCTGAGCATAGATATTGTATCAGACATATTCATGACAATATGAGGAAAAGATGGAGGCAAACAGAGTACAGGGACCACTTATGGAGGTGTGCATCAGCTACCACCATTCCTGAGTTTGAACATTTGATGAAGGAGTTTAGTCAGTATGATAAGGAGGCATGTGAATGGTTGAAGCAAATTCCTCCTAAACATTGGGCAAGGAGTCATTTTTCAGGTAAATCTATATATTCCAA